ACAACTTCGAGGTCAATCGGCGTTACATCGACTTTGCCGCACGTAACGGGATCGCCTATCACGGGCTGTCGAGCGTTCATGGCGACCGGCCTTGGCACGTCCAAGAGGACCCGGGCTTCAACTGGCCACGGCCCGATGCCGACACCCGCGTCGCGCGCGACGACCTCGATCTGCCGCGGATTCTGGCGTACGCGGAGTCGAAGGGCGTCGGCATTCGGCTCTGGGTGCACTGGAAGTCGCTGTATGATCACCTCGAAGAGTCGTTCGCCAACTACGAGCAGTGGGGGGTCCGTGGCTTGATGGTTGATTTCATGGACCGCGACGATCAAGAGATGATCGCGATCCAAGAAGAGATCCTCCAGGCGGCGGCTCGGCACCAGTTGCACATCCAATTCCACGGCGCCTCGAAGCCGACCGGCGAGCACCGGTCGTATCCGAACCTCTTCAACCGTGAGGGCGCGTTGAACCTCGAGTTCCTGAAGTGGAGCGACACGTGCACGCCGCCGCACAACGTCAACATCGCCTACACCCGCGCGATGGCGGGGCCGACAGACTACCACCTGGGTGGTTTCAACGCGGTTGCTCGCAGCCAGTTCCAACCGCAGAACAATCGGCCCGTCGTGCTAGGGACACGCTGCCATCACCTTGCGATGTATGTCGTCTACCTAAACCCGATGCCGATGGTCGCCGACGTACCAGAAGCCTACGAAGGCGAGCCCGGTTTCGATTTCCTTGTTGACGCCCCCACGACCTGGGACGAAACCCGCTTCGTAGCAGGCGAGGATGGCAAGTACCTCGTCGTCGCCCGTCGTAAGGGAGACGCTTGGTACTTGGGTGGGATGAATGACTGGAATGCGCGCACTGTTGAACTTCCTTTGGCATTCCTTGGTAATGTGACGTACGAAGCTCGCCTCTACACGGATGGGGACCAATCTGGCAACTCGCCTAATGCAATGAAGCAACGCACCATGACAGTTGATGCAAGATCGAAGCTCAGCTTGACTCTGGCCTGCGGCGGCGGTTTCACTGCGATACTTCATCCACTGCAAGCTGAGTAGTTAGAGTAAGCCTGCGGCGTCGCTCGGAAATGTCTTCGATGACCGGCGGGCAGACCGGCAGCAGGGCGTTGAACGATCGCAGGCACGCCGCCCAGACCTCGTCGTTGTCCAGCAGACCCGCCTCGCCGTTGCGGAGCTCGGCGGCGCAGGCCCACTTCCAGAACCGCTTACGAGACAGGCGGGCGTTCACCGTTCGTCGGCTGTGCCGCCCGGAGCCCGCCATCGCGTCGCGGACCTTGAGCAGCTTCGAGGGGCCGAAAGGACATCAAGTATTCATGGCCGACGTAAGTGACCATCTCGGCGATGGCCTCCTCCATCGAGGCGAACTCGCGGGAGAGCTCGGCGCCGCGGCGGTACCGCTTCTCGGCGTAGTCCTTCCAGAACGGGACGAGTTCCTCGACGGTCTCGAACCCGTTCGGCTTGGCCGGCCGGGGGTCCGGGACTCCTCGGAGCCGATCCGGAGCCGCTGGTACCGGGTCGAAGCCTCCGGCGTTCCGTATTCTCCCAGGGACAAGCGGTGCGACCCGTTCGGGATGTTGGAGTGGTAAACGTAGGCATACCCGCGGTAGTCGTACTGCAACGGCGGGGTGAGATTGCTTGGCCATATTGGGGCCAACCTATAAGCAGTAACTATAGTGGCCTGCTGTCGAAAAGCTGATCCACGGGTTATGAAGGTCTCACGCGCCCGAAGGGCCAGGAGACCTGTAGATGAGCGAGAAGCGAAGGAAGCGGCATTCGCCGGAGCAGATCGTCCGTAAGCTGCGAGACGCGGACGCGATGCTGAGCGCGGGCAAGGAGATGGCGGCCGTGCTTCAAGCCCTGGAGGTGAGCGAATCAACGCTCGACCGGTGGCGAAAGCAGTACGGCGGGATGAAGTCCGAAGAAGCTTTGCGGTTGAAAAAGCTGGAGGATGAGAACCGGCGTCTGAAGCAGCTGGTTGCGGAGCTGTCGCTCGACAATCAGGCCCTGAAGATCGTTGCGGAGGGAAACTTCTGAGCCCTTCCCGGAAGCGAGCGGCGGTGGCCGAGCTGCGGAAGCGGCTGGGCCTCTCCGAGCGGAGGGCGTGCCGAGCCGTTGGCCAATCGCGGAGCAGTCAGCGTTACCAAACGAAGCCGCGGAGCGACGAGCCGAGGTTGCTCAAACGGCTGCTGCAGCTGGTGCGTCGGCGGCCACGGTTCGGCTACCGGCGCATCGCGGCGCTGTTACGGGGGGAAGGCTACGCGGCGAGCGAGTCGCGGATCCTTCGGCTGTGGCGTCGAGAGGGCCTGAAAGTACCGCAGAAGAAGCGGAAGAAGCGCCGGTTGGGCGTGGCGGAGAACGGCTGCGATCGTCTGGCGGCGACGCACAAGAACCACGTGTGGGCGTGGGACTTCGCCTTCGACCGGACGGAAAACGGGACGCAGCTGAAGTGGCTATCGATCGTTGATGAGCACACACGCGAGTGCCTCGCCTTGAAAGTGGCGAGGAGCATTACGAGCGAGGACCTGATCGACACGGTGGCCGAACTGCTGGCGATGCGGGGCGTGCCGGAGAACGTCCGCAGCGACAACGGGCCGGAATTCGTGGCCGAGAAGTTGCGAGCGTGGCTGGCGCAGGTCGGCGTGAGGACGCGTTACGTCGAACCGGCGAGCCCGTGGCAGAACGGCTATGCGGAGAGCTTCCACAGCCGGTTGCGAGACGAGTTCTTGGCGATCGAGGTGTTCGACAACCTGGCGGCCGCGCGGAAGCTCACAGCCGTTTGGCGAGAGGATTACAACCACTACCGGCCGCACGGCTCGATGGGGTACGTCACCCCGGCGGAGTTCGCGGCCCGCTGCCCCGCTTCCGCTCCGGAGTCGCTTTCGGCTATGCCTCAAGCGACTCCTCCGCTCCAGCAGAGCAGCGGCTTTACCCA